CTTTGATAGCAATAGATAACTAACCTCATTTTGTAAAAGCAGAACTAAACAGAAGAGTTATTCTTTGTCTTCAGCAGAAGCAGTGAATCAGACCTCATTGCCTCGTACTGAACCCAATTTAAGGCAATTTGATGTTTTACACATAATCATTGAGAAGCTTACAGTTGTAACTTTTTTGTTCTTTTCTTTCTGCTTTACCTGGCATTTCTTTATGCAACAGGATACCAGAAGGTTTCATATTTAAGAGAAATAGGGCAGCCCTTCCCTAACCCTTGACAGTCATATTTTCTGAAGCTGTATTTTCAGCTTGTATATTCTGCATCCTTACTAGCCTTAAGTTCAGGTCAAATTTTTCTATTTCTGTGGCAGTAAGATTAAAGATGCAATTGCTTCTAAAGTAGATATTTTCAACTTTTCTTAGCCACAAAACCTGGGGCTTTACACAAATATTTCCATGCCTCAGTCTTCATTCAGCCAGTGTTAACCAAAAAAAATAAATAAATTAGGCAATGATAACCCTGTTTACCAAATTACTTTTTTCCGTGATACTAGGTATTGCTAGAAACCTACCGATAGACTAAATCAAAACCAAATGACAGAATACCTTTAGATACAGATAGGTATTTGGTTACAATGCCATAAAGACTGTGAGCTATCTGTACCTCTATCGAGACTGAACTCCTATTGTGTAGGTAGACATTAGACAAAGAAAATCACTTTCCTGTTCTGTGATGACTCCTGCGATCTGAAAGAAGGGGAAGACGACTTGATGCACATCACAGAAATCACTTGGTGTGATTTTATTTACGTGATCTACATGACAGAAGTCAACATCTTTGTGCACAGTAGGTATGACAAATCAAAGGAACTTAGGACAAAATGCCTGTGTTGTACTGACAGACGGAAAGTGAACAATCTGTACAAAACAGTGTTCCTCAGGCAAAAAATCAATTGAAGTATTATGGAATTTTAAATAAACAAAAGCTTCGGTATTACAATCTACTGTGCCATTTTTATAATTAAATCAGAAGTGCTTCACACTTTCACACAACACTAAGATGACTACAAAACCCACAACCTTACCCCTCCACACGTTCATACCAGTGTTACTTTGGTCCACTGACTTCAGTGGAATAACATGTGATTTACCATAAAGCAAAGTAAGAGGAGAAACAGATCCGAAGACTAGAAACAAACTGGAGCTTTTTGATGAAACATAATCCTCAGCAGGAGATGCAAAAGGTGACTTTCCTGACAAGTGCCACCCAAATTCTTAATAGCTTTCTGTATGTAACCCCATCTCATTTCATCCTGACATAATCTTAATTAGTCTTAGTTCTACTGCAGAGAAGCCTACTGAGGCAGTTAGCACCATCTAATTAATCAGCTATTTTGCACGCATCACAGCAACCAACAGTGTCAACTTACTCATGTGAGTTAATACAAACAGAAATCAACCCTGCCTTCCCCTTTCACATGAACTAAAAGCATGTGGCATGGAATGAACATATGACTATTTCTTCTATACACTGCTTAATGTCCTTTCTTCCCTTAGCAGCCATTTCCTAATGCATCATTACTCTTTGCAAAGTATAAGTTGTTTGTTCTGCTGGTACTAGGAGAACACACAATCTGATATTTCTCTTAGATTTCAGTTTCTTCACTGAAGAATAAGCCCAGCAACTGAAATAACAAATGACAAGACATAATTTTTGCTGCTGGAATTTGTAAATTTCTGTGTGCTTTAGCAGTTTTTAAGAAACTGAACTTTGCACCTCAACATAAATACACTTTCACAAGCATGACCTACTCCATTCAGTCATCTCATAGCAACACAAAGTAATGCACTTAAAAATATAAACATATGTGATGTATACATCAACTCACCGGATTAAAAACTTCACCACCTATCTATGTAATTACAGATCTTAACTGCATTCTATTGTTTGAGCTTTATATTTTGTCTTCTTTGCAGGAGCCAAGCATCACAGTATTGTGCCTACCAAAGGGGAAGCCATACGATTATAGGAATGGATGGCAAAGAACAAAAAAGCCACTGCTTAAGGAAAACAATTTTATAAAGCTGATTGTCCATTCTCCTAAGCTTAAACTAAAACTTCAATAAACACTATAAAACCACAAGAAGGCTTATTCAGTTTTGTTTGGCATCTGTAATATGCTGCGGTATTTATTAATAGTAAACACCATGTTTAATACATGGCAGTGGTTTGCTCCAGCAGAACACTGCAAAAGTACTTGCAAGAACAATTTAGTCTATAACTAATACTCACCGTAAGAAAGAGCAGCCTAACATTTTGCAATTTCTTATATTCTCTGAACAAATCAGTGAGATAATAATCTTCATAGAAGGCAGTATTTAAATGATAGTTTATTTCAGGAGCTGACAGTAAACTGCTTAACGCCTTCTCTCTACAGTGTTTGTGCCCCAAAGCAGCTAAGTATCTTAGATAGGAATTAATAAAAATTGTGACAGCTCTAGTGTTTTAATTTCCAGAGGTATCTCAGCACAGGAACATGTACAACCTATTCACCACTCAACACCACAATTATTGTTCAATCTCTTGGGATGCTTTTTTTGTATTTGAAGGTCTCTGACAAGAAATTAGGCTGCCTACTGGAATTGCCAAATGTTTCAGGTTCTGTCACCCACGATTACTGCTCATCAAACAGAGACATCTAATGTCTGTTTGTCAGTACCTAATTGCCCTGCCTCTCCCTCCTATATGAATCTTAATTTACTTTAATGCTGTAAGAATACAGCAATTATAGCCTTGATAAGACTGCAACTGAGTTTGTTTTAACCTAACTAAACCAGCAGTAACTGAAGATAATCAACTGTTCATTTTTCTTTCTGTTTCAGCAGATGGTAAATACGTTATTAAGCAACAGCAACCAGGATACATGTATAATAAGAAAAGATGAGCTAAGTTTATCCCAAACAACTTAAAATCCATCACCAAACCTCTTCCACCCTAAAGATACAGCTGTCCTTTATCTTCTAACCCTGAGCTACATTTTATTATCTTACAGTCATCCAATCTGTCATCTAATTCGGATTTCGCACTCTGACACTTGGTCTCAACGCCCGACATAACACTCGGCTGCTGTAAGACGCGTGTAAGCCACAGCAGCTTCACAACGGGATTTTGATTAGTGATTGTCAGACTGTGAGTAGGGTGCAAATGGGAAGCCAAGACAAGGGGCAGAAGGCAGCAGAAGTGAAGTCAGATTCCTGGGGCTAATTTTGCCAGCAAGAGCTGTGTTTTAACGTGTGATTAAAATCCTACTATGAACAAGGCAAAATGAGGCCTAGACTAAATTGTTCCAAAGGGATTAGTCATCATAACGAGCTTATGATTAGACTGTGTCTACCTAAAGATTGTACACACTGAGAACTGTAGAAAAATGCAAGTCGGAGTCTGCAATTCTTCCCTCATGACTGCCATTACTATCTCAGTCTGACAGTAATATAACCTAAACCAGTTCTAGTGAAACTCCCACTGTTTTGGATGATTTTTCCAGTCCAAAGTGCCAAATTTCTTATTAGACATCATATTGGATGATTGATGCATCTCCTTCCAAAGAAAACTTCATTAGCCTTAATCATGGTAAATCTAATTAGGCTTAGAACATATGACATTTTACTTTATCAAATGCTGTAAGTTTATCACATTTGGTCACATAAAACCTTTCTTATTCAGACAAATGGCACATTTGCAGGATCTTTCATTTAAAAGTGGACTAAACTAGAAATATGGGTGCTTAGGTAGTTGTTTTAAAAGATATAAAAACTAATGGCATTCTTCATACTTTCCTACTTCATCTCACAGGCAGCATGTTTCAACACTAAAAATATTTAACATCTCCAAATAACTCAGAAAATTCCAAACCCTTGGCATTCACCTAAAATCAGACTAAAAATTACTTTCTTTCAACATATGGCATGCCCTTAGTTGGGTGATGCTATTAATCCTCAGAGTGAGAAGCACAGCCACTGAAGACTTGGATCTTTATCAAGATGCAGTAGCCTAGGGTAAAAGGACTTTGTCATGGGAGCTGGGAATGGAATCTAAGCTTCTTTGGCTCTAATCAAACCCCTTTGATCTGAAGAAGGTTTTGGAGTTGTTAATCGTAAAGCTGGTGAGAAGGGCAGTGGCACATCTATCCAATGCAAAAAATGCTACCCAGGTGAAATCTGTAACCAAGAAAATTCTTAACACTCGGAGCAGATGGCAACAGCAGCTCCACAGAAACAGGCAAGATTCTTCACAGAACATGGTTTCTGATCCTTAGATCTCTTTTTGACAGGATTTGCTACCTTTGGTGCTTCTTAGTAATCAGCAATAGGCTTAAACAGGAAAACACTGTGTTTAATACGTTTTCATTTAGTAAAACATATCCCTGGTCATTCTTGTCAGGTATCTAAATTCATCTCTGTGACATATCTAGAGCATCTTTTCTCCAGCAGAGCCCTAAAGCATCTTCTGCATCATATTCTTAGACCATTATTGATGCCTAGACATCTCCAGAGTGTATCTTAGCACGGACTGTCTTTGTCCAGTGACAGGAGAAATGTGCATTTATGTAAAATGGTGTGGGGTTTGCAATGTCCTGCACAGTGGAAGGTCTTGCTTAACAGCCTATTTCATAGTGATGACTTTATTTATTTTGAAATGACTCAAAAACCCTGGCAAATGCTGAGTCTGCGATTCCACGGAAACCAGGTATTCCAAACGGAACGTTAACACTGCTAACACTATCCTCCAGACAATCTCTTTACAAATGATCTGTAAAATGAAGATGCCTTCTTTTCATTTATTCATTCATTTTAGTTTCTTCAGAATAAACTTGTTTTCTAGGACCATCAAAATGCAGTACCTACAGAAGAAAATTAGGATGCGCTCGCTGCACATGCTGATTCTGTTATTACTTACAGCAAGTTATGAAACAGAAAAATCACTTAAAATGATGGTGCTTACCCCGTTCTGTGTCATAGAGATACACAAACTTTTCCCACTTATAATAAGTCAAGAGACTCAAGATGGCTCCTTTTAACGCTGGCCGCATCTGGATGACAAACTGTACATCTGCATCTGTTGGGAAGCTGGGTGTGACAAAGGATGTGTGAAGGGCTCCACAAAACGACGTCAGTGTGTTCATTGACATCTGGTCATAGAATCCAAAGATGGCATAAACTCCTCTGGAAAACTGTGAACAGACTAACAAAGACAGACAGCGGTGTTAACATCTGACATGACGAATACCAACAAACTTTCAAAGTATATTTGAAGTAAACTTTCTAAACAACCTTGAAATTATTCCGTATGATACAGCAGATGGAACGAATTAATGAGATAATATATACGAAATTCAGTGTAGTTGAGAGTTGTACTAACATTGTCACAATAAAATTGGCCTGACTATATTTTTGATTGCAATTTGTCCTGCTACATTTTTATAATCCACTAATCTCTCCATGTTCTTTAAAAAGTTTGCCTGCAAAATACCTTCCCTCCCTTGAGTAGCACCTTCATTAGCAGCTACATAACAATTATCAGATCTGCCTAAAAGTCAAAACGTTAAGATGTAGCATTCCCTGGTATCCCACGATGATTCAGATCTGATTCAGAGAAATCGGTAAGCTTTATTTCTTTATAGTCTGCCACTCTGAAATCTCATGATGAAATCTGGGTGTGGTCCTTTGCAGTGAGAAATCAGGACGGCTTCCTAACTGGGCATTACAATTCTTCAGAAACAATTCAGGAAGCGAATGAGGAACACGTATTGTTGCTTCATGGGACAGTGCTGATAGCCCTTAACCTGGAAGCTTTCAGCCATTAACCATTCGGGTGTCATAAGGAACTCATCTAGTACCAGAAAATAATAAAAACGTAGTCAAAGATGTTTTGTTTCAAGGTACTTATCTGGGGAAACACTTCATTTCCCACACTTTACAGATTGAACCATGACCATTTTGGATAAAAATGGAAGTATTTCAATTTCTAAATGTGGCCAACTTCATGAGAGTTTCAAGGAACAGAGTTTCTTTATTGTTCACTTCCACAGGAACAGAGAAAGCCTCTTGTGACCCTGGGTTGTTTCCATGGAGGGAGACTGCATCAGAGAGAGCGAGGGAGCCTGATCTGTGAGATGCTGGGGCTCTGGTTCATAACAAAGGTTGTACAACTGAAATACGCTACAGCACAGCAGCACTTCTAAATCAAAACACTTCTGGACTGAGATAACAAGTCCCATTTGTAATGAAAAAAAGTTTCCCAGAAAAATGTTCATTCAACATTAACAATTTTGCTTGTCAAGAACTGGATTTAACAACAATTTTCAACTGGCCCTATTAAGCACTTTTGTCAAAACGCTGCATACTTACCTTTGCAAAAAGCCAGGGGATGTAATTAACGATAAAGAAGACATGGCTTCTACACAGAACTATGCAGCATTGTTAGTTCGAAAGTACCATCACGAAACACTTCCATAAATGCTACCATTCAGAATTACTAAAGCCTGCTAAAATAATTTTAAAAAGGATCTTCATGATATCAGCTCACTGACACAGCATCATGGATAACACCTCAAAGAAGTAGTTAGGTGTGAAAATTCTATTTTCTTCCTGGAGATCCAGCTATTAAAATAGAAATGCTATTAGGGAATTTCTTTAAGTGTTTAGGCCACCATAACAGGACAGCTGGTGTAGACAGAAAAGAGATGTATGTGAGGCACAGAGAGGAAATAAGAAGTGATTTCTGAAAGAAAACTTTGCGGAAGTTCTCATCCACAGTAAAGAAAAGATATAAAAGAATTTGTAACACAGCAAGAATTTATTCCCAGAGGCATGACTGGGGAATTAAATGCACTGTTTCAAAAAGCATTTTGTTAAACTACATACTGGCAGGATATAAAGTAGCGAAGCTACTATAAAAATTATATACTGAAGTAACAAATAAAAGGCATTAACTTACAGGTGAAAAAAAAGAGGAAAAATAAGGACTATTTTAGAAAGTCTGGCAGTCTCCAAATTGTTTCAATGGATGTAAACCCTAATGCTATGGGAATAACCACTGCAGTGGGGTTAGCAGAGCTGGGTGTCCTCACATACACTGAGTCAATACCTCACAGATCTGGCTTCTCTTACATATTTATTAATGGCCTAGTTTACTAGTTTTTTATGTAGATTCTATGCTGCAGAAAAAGCAGAGAAGAACAAGTATTCCCAGAAACATCCCTCACAATACAAACAAAACACATTCTTGGATGTCTCCTGACCCTAAACCTGAGAGTATTTCCAATGATCCTGGCTTCACCCATTATTTCTTACCACGTATAAGGCTCAGGAACACTTTTGAACTGTGACCCCAATGAAATCTCTCAGATTTACAAGGACACAGTATTGGAAAGTGGGCTCAGAAAGCCTACATGCTATTGAAGGGTAAGACTACAGGAACAAATGCACATTGGCTTTTATTAGGACATGCCATAGAGGCAGAGGAGAGAAAAGGTGCAGTGCTAAAGGTAACAGACAGTGGCTGCCTCCAGCACGGACCAGCTCCTCCACACTGTACCAGGAACCAGCTGAGAATTGGTCTGGTTTGCTCTCTTTCTTGTCCTTAGAGATAAGGCACGTAGGCACAGTGGTCAACAATCTGAAAATGCTCTGAGGTCTTTTGTCCTTGGACAAAATGCTGTCTTGCATGGCTATTTTAAAACACTGAGTTATTTATTTTAAAACACTGAGTATTTATTTTCATAGCAGATTATGCTCATCTGTGCAAAGGGCTCAAACTCAATTGTGAGTAATCTGAGACAAAAAATCAGGAGTCTGTAAGCTGCCTGACCGTACGCAGGACCTTCTCCAAAGAACACCTGAGAGCCAGCGTGGAACCGCTGCTTGCACGGAGCATCCCAGCACAGGTGAGAGCTTCTGATTTGGCCTTTTCAGGTATTGGCACATTTTTTTTCCCCTAAAAGTTCTGGAATATCATCAAGAAGATCTGTTAACAAGTGTACCTCCCTGCCCAGCCTTGTTTCCCCTGATCCTAGTTTGTATTCACCACAGATCTTTAAGAGTCAACACTTTTACAGACCACCTGTCTTCTATTAGTCTCAAAAAAATATTCATCTCCTAAGCTCCTCTGCTTACTTCTTATAGCTTGTTTTTCTTGACTATCTAGTCTGCATGCACTGTAGGGTGTCAATTCAATTTTACTGGTGCACTTAAAAGGCAAATAAGCCTTTGTTTTTTGAAGAAGAAGCTAAAAGGCCAATTACCTTGGTCCTCAATGCATATTTCTATTTTTGAACTAACAATTTTGTAGCATTAGGTCTTTCGTTTAGTCTATGATCTCATCTCCTATGTGTTCAGATGAACCTACTTATCATCCATAAAACCACAGCCATATCGTTACTTGTTTTCCAAAAACCAAATGTGATTTTAAGCAAAAATTTAAAAAGGCTAACTAAATCTCAGCTTTAAACTCTTTTTACAAACTGTTTGCTACTGACAATCAGAACAATCCTCATGTTCAAGTAAGAATTTTGGTGTTTTTCCTTAATTAATCACAGTTGATTTATGTTTGTTTTTCCCTATTTGAAAAAATGCAGATGGTCAAACACATACTTTGGCTGTTAAATAAGTGATTTGGACAAATCCTGATGCAACCTCATTCCTCAAAAAATAAAAGCAATTTTTTTTGCCAAGCTATGGTTTATGAAACTGTTCTTAACTGCATTTACTAATACTGTGGATGTGCATCTGTTTTCCAAGGACAGCACATAAGCAAGTTGCTTTACCCAATCTGAAAAAGCTGGAACCTCCACAAACAAGGGGCAGAGGTCCTGAGCAGCAGTTACCCAACAGCAGACCATAATAAGCCATTTTTCTGGCATTAGGTGCAAGGCGAGTACTTCTTAACAGACTTAAGTCTGGTCTTGTTCTCAGAGCACGTTAGCTGCCACATGCCATCACTTCCAGGAGAGGAAGGGATGGTATGACAGAAGCCTGTGAATTCTCAGACATGTCAAGAGAAGATAAGGAACTTTCAGGTTATGACAGACTGGTGTTTCCTGCCAAGGAAGGAAAACGCTCAAAGCCACGGTGATCACAGCAGTAAGCAGAATTGTTTTGAGGTTTTTTTTTTAAAGGCAAACCAAAAACCCAACCTGAACACAAGTAAAGAAAAAAAATATATTTTTTTTTCTGTACTGTATAGCAGCAGAGCCATCCTAAACATCGTGTAACTCAATGAACCCCAGCCGTCTGTTCTGCTAGGAGTTCCATCCTCCCTCCAGTCAAATCAGCCTCACCACAGAAACTTGCTAAGATTAACCAGATGCCATTATTTTTTTTTTTTCTACTCAGACACCAGGAAGGCTTCAGGCCAGAATCTCAAAAGATTCCCCATTTCACACAAGTTATTAGATGTTTTGTGTTTTTTTTATTTTTCGCTTTCTAATGGTTTTCAGTTCTTCTACCTTTTAGTGACTGTGAGTCTTCCTGACACAGCAAGCTTGCACAGGCTCTGGCATTTCTACTGTCTATTGCCTGGAAGCTAAAGTCAAATTTCTCTGACATCTTTTCTTTATTTTTTATTTTTATCTTTTTATGTTTTTTTTTTCACTTCCAGTTCTTACTATAAACAGGTGAAGCCCTACTAGTAACATTTACAAGTAGGCTTGGATTTTGCTTGTTTAAAGAAAAGATGTATAAAGCCCACAAAATAAATATGTTAATGGATGGATGGATGGATCTTAATACACCATTTCCACCAGATGATACCATCAACGACTGACTTGTAAAAGTCAGCAGGATCCTCCCAAGCATGGCACACAGTGCCCTTGTGCCCAGGGCTCTAACAGCCTGGTAGTTTTGGAGTCAGAGGCTGGAGGTTTCAACACCTCAGACACTAGTCCTTCTTCATTACTGTTTGTATGGACAAGTAATATCCCCTTTGTTCATATCAATTTCTTATAAAGTAGGTCTGACACAAGGAAGCTGTGCCACAGGGGCTCTGTAAGGCCTGCCCTACTGAGATTCACACAGCTCTTGGGGCTGAAAGGCACTGTAGGGGCACAACCACAACTGACATTATTGCACGTTGCTCATACCACTTCCCCGGGCTTGTGTTCTGTGTTTCCCTCAGCTGTGAAATAATTTTATTCCCTCCTCTTTCTTCTGCCAATTGTCTTGGATTCCGGACAATTCTCCCTG